TATGTTCGTGTGGATACCAGCTAATATTCTAGTTTTTTTTTTTTTTTTTTTTTTCAAGCCTATCTGCTCCCTTTTTTTGAGATTTTTTTTTTTTTTTTCGTTGGTGACTCCCTTTCCCCCCCCCTTTTTTTTCTCTACCGCCTCGGAGATTCGCAGATCGAGCCGTGGATGATGTATATAACATTAGTGTTCGATCGTTCGCAGGAGTGGTGATTGTTGTGTGTGATGTTCAACGGTGTTGTTTTCGCCAAAGTATTTTTGAAAATAAAAAGAACACAGGGTGGAGCAGACGAGAAACGTCTTACACGGTGATCATTGTATGTATGGACTGGCTCGTACTAGTTGTATGTAGGTACACATTACACCCACTACTCGACGAGTACATATTATAGTTGTAATTTGGTGCGTGTGCTCATTCTTCCAAGTAGGTTCGTACCTAAATATTTATCATATATTTTCGTGTACGCGTGTTTGTGCCTGATTCTGGAGTTCTTCGTCTCGGTGTCTCATCTCTGGGGGCATATTAGTGAGTTGCCTACACGATCCTGCGTACAAATTACGTTTGCTTACACGGTATGGTGCATATCTCCTGTTTATTCTGCAAATTCGTCAAGCTGTCATTATCCGTGTACATAGTGTATCTGCCAAAGCAGGTGTAGAAAAATAAACAACAAAAAGAGGAAAAACAGCAACATTGCTCGCAAGAGGTGCGGCCAATACATCTCTTTTTCTCTTTCTCGCCACCTAACCTCAACTTTTTTCTTTCTTTCTTTTTTTTTTTTCTTTTTATCACGGACAGTCGGTCGACATAACATGTAATCCACTCTCTGCTCTTTTCCACTCGCCGAGAGTCTCCACTTTTCATACTCTAATACACCCACTCCTCCTCCACTGGCCTCTATGCTCGTTTCTGCTGATGTGTGTATTATTTGCAAAAGGAGTGTGTGGTAGATTTAACCAACATGTGTATACACCCAAGTGCATTTGTACACACTCTAGTAAAATAGTAAGAGGCCGTGTTGCTGCAGTATATGTTTGTGTGGTTGTGGTTGGGTTTTCTTCGTTTCGCTCGTGTACTCCCGAGAAAAGAGAGACCCCCCCTAAGATCCCTACATTAGCACTTAGCACTAGCCAGAGAGTCTTAAGAGCGAAAAGGAGCACATTACCCAGAGAGAAAGGTGTAGGCATACACACAAAGTAGTAGTAGTAGTAGGTATAAGGTACTACTGATGCGAGAGTGGAAAAAAATGACATCGTGCAAGCGAGCTAGCTCTCCTTTATTGCCTTCTGTTGCTGCTGTGTGTGCTGTGCAGCTTCGTTGTCGTATACACTTACAGTGAAAGGGACGAGAGAGAAGAAGGCGAGCTTCTCTCTCCTCTTGCTCTCTATACACTTTTAGTGTAGATGTATACAGTACTTGTATTTTACGAGAGACTGGCTATACGTGAGAGAGGCATGCATATAATATAGTTGTAGGTACTTGGGTTGAGAAAAATTTAGGATCACAAACGGCGTCAGTCGAGCTTTCACCCATATTATACTACGCGCTTATGTTATAATGATTTATGTGCATATAATGTGTTCCCGTTCGACAAAAAACGACCAGCCCATCAATTGTCGTAGTGATCAAAGTGTTTTCGTAGTAGGTACTCTCTCTCTCCCGATCATGCGTTTGCTCCGAAATTCCGGAGCACCGCTTAAAAGAGATGACGCGGCGCGCAAGGGGGAGCCAGGCCAAGGGGTACAGTATATACATACCTATAGGCACCACAGTTAGAGCGCCCTTTTTTCGTATGTATATAACTTTACGGTGCTCTCATGATTATCTAACCTTTTTTTCCGCACATCCGCGCGTCAAATATAACGGGAAATACTTTCATATACATAGGGGAGTACTGCACATGAGCTGCTTATTCTTTTTTTACCCATACAACTGTACGATGACAAGCGAGAGAGAAGAATCCCATTCGAAGACTCCCTCTCGTATTACATTGGATGAGATGATACACAAGTGAGGAAAAGAGGGCCGCCCCCCCCCCCTCATCCTTTCTGTGTGTGTCTGATGCTTGCACGCACGCGTTGTGTTGGTAATATTATTGGCCGTTGTCTGCTGATTTCGTTAGCTATGTACATGGCACGGAGTACTTGCGCGCACGGAAGCGCTTTTGAATTTTTTAACTGTACTTAAGACCGTGTGTTGCACATAATATACAATACGTATATGCACCGCCTCATCTTCGTATTTTGTGTACGTGTTTGTCTCTCTGTTATAATGTATAAGTTTGCTGGCTGGCTGACTGACCTGACTTGGCTGCGGCAGCTCGAGTTTCATTCCGGGTGGCGTTTTTTTTTGTCCCCCCCCCCCTCGACTACTCTACCGAATTTTCAAATTAAAGCTATTTTCGTTGTTGGTTGCACTTGTAGGTAACTGGAAATTAGGCATAGTTGCCATGTTGTAACGACAAATAGTTTAAAGTGACACCTACATGATATACATGAGCAAATGAATTTTTAGATGTGTTATTTTTTTCCCTCATCATTCGACGGCTTATCGATTGTAATTTCGAGCCCGCGATAAGCCTTTAATTCTCCGGTAATTGTTTTTCGATGTTTTGTTTTTTTTTTTACCCCCTTTTTTTTTATCTGTTAAGACATTCATTTCTAGTATTATCTGTTTTTATTTTTATTTTATTTTATTTTTCAACAACTGAAAGATACACTTAGCTTTACACGCGTACACGTTATAGAGCTCGATGTTGCTCAACTATCTCTCTGCCGATGCAAGGTCAGTTTTCATTTAACATCGCTGGCTTCGCCGCTCATTCACTCGCGCGTATTTTAGGTACATTATTGTAATTCGATTCCGCATAATGTATATTTAAAGGCGAGGTTTTTTTTTGTCCCTCCCATACACGCGTATATTGATTCCCGAACGGCAAGATTTACATTCGCTTGGATTACAGAGCATACGTATAATGAGTTCCTGCTTGGGTATTTGAATAATTAAAATTGTTACTGGTTTTACTGGTTCTACTTCAAATATTATATCGTCCCTTTTTGGTGATTTCGAGTTCAACAAGTGATTGTGTTTACACACATCGAAGTACCAAATAACTATGAAAAGAAGAGAAGAAAATAAACGCGCAAGCAATTATCTTTAATTTATTGTCCGTGTCATCGGCAGCAGTTGAGCGAAAATGAGCCGGCTCTCCTCGTTTCTTCTTCCTCATCGCCGAGTCTCTAAAATAAAAGCGCGTCCGGCGCTTTCCCAAGCAAGTCAGCGGCTATACTCTTTTTTTTTTTTTTTTTTTTTTCTTTCTTTTTCCACACTCGGCGCATAAAACTGTCCCCTTTCTCTTTTCCACGCCACGGCGGTACACGTATACGAGCGTTTTTCTCGTTCATGTCCTTGCGTCGATTTTTTTTTTTTTTTTTTTTTTTTACCTGCTCCTCCTCGCGGACTCTCTCGCATATACGCGCGTTTCGTCCGCCTCTATATGTTTTCGCAAATCCGGTTTCGGCTCCCTCCCTCTTTCTCCTTCGTTTTTCGAGTTGCGTAGAACGTCCTTCGTGCCATTTTTTCCTTCCCCCCCCCCCCTTCGTTCCGCAGCGGTGCTTGATTCTTTTTAGTGTCTGCTAGTCGTTTTTTTTTTTTTCCTTTTCGAGGAGAAATGTATGAAGCAAAAGTTGTGGCCACTTTTTTTTTTGGATGCGTAAAATTACATCGTCGTTCTTTTGTTTTTTTCTCTTTTGGTACAAGCACCCCGACTCTTTGGTCGGTACGAATTTAGATGGAGAAAAAAAAAAACTCCCCGCTTTCGGCACGTGATCGACGCCCCGTTAAAAAAAGAGAAACAGCCGATACTTGTGCTGTCCGAGGCAAAAATTCCACATCGCTATCACCTCCCGTACGCGTGTATCCTAGCGTGGATCGCTTTAGCCTCTGCTATAAATATGATTTCCTCGCCGAGCCATTCTCTCCAAAGTGGGTACTCTATGGCCGGTTCGGTCAATGACGACAGTGGTGCACTTTGTTTCCTTTAAATTAACCTGTCATCCGCCAAATATCTCTTCATTTTCTCACGTGGATACACACCTGATTTTATTGTAAAGTCTTACACAAAAATAAATGAAGCAGAGTAAACCATTTTGTACCCACTGGTGATGATTATTGTCCTTATAGTCGTATAACACTCTTGTAATCTTGATTAGTTAGAGGTCGCCATAAATGTTTTATTCGGACCTTTTTTTTTTTCTCCCTCCTCTGCGAGAGCTGGTTCATATTTTATAACAAAACCTCCGTACTCGTGCAACGTATATTATTAAAGCGGTGGCTTGAAAACTTTCTTTTCGAAATAATACCAAAGTTGCATTAGCTTACAGTTCAAGGCTCGACTGTATAGTCAACGACAAGCCAGCAACTCTCTCGTACCATCGACACGACCGTGTGCGCAATATCATTGGACGAGTAAAAAAAAAAAAAAAAAAACCTCGTGCACTCCGCTTCGATCGCAGCTTTCCTCCCCTACGCGCTACATTTATGCGCCTCGTCTACCTGTAATCAATGGTATAGAGCCCGGAAAAGCACCTGCATGGGTAGTACATACGCTTTCCTCCCCAACGCTCCACAATTTATCGGTACATAAGTTCACCCTCTTTTATTCTTGTACTGCGAGCGAGTGTGCACTTGGTTCATATACTGTGGTAATTTTATTTTTTTGCGAGTACGTATTGACTTAAAATCTGATCATCAATATGATGATTGTAATACGTAGCATATGATATGTCCATTACGGAATGCCGGTATTACTTAAAGTGGTTTTTCCCTCGTGTATTGTACAAAGAGGGTAATATCGAGCGGAGAATTATTGAAACGTAGGTCCGCGTGTGTGTGCGTGGGATAATACGTTTAGCGGGAAAAACAAAACGATGAAATCGGCAGCGAAAAAATTTTATGAGTGCGATTGCTAATAAAATGTTATTTTTCTCTTGTCCATCAGATCTCTACTGGCATGGAGCTAGGAGTGCACTGACAGCGATATAGTTCACAAGATCTTGGTTTCCACGCATTGCCTGCCAAAGAAGAACTGAGCCCAATGTTTCCACACAATTCTAGTTCACATAAGATTTCTACCGAAACAAATGCCTTCGTACAAAATTCCAAGGTAAATATACATACGTTAACATTATACCGTCATCGTCCACTTGCCGTGCTCGCTTGATAATTTTGTGGTCCTCCGACGATGATGGGTATATTATACATATATACGCTTCCTCGCTGCGTGAGATTATTATTCACTTGAGAGGTGGCATTGTCACGGTACCAAATCGATGTTGTACCGTAGCTTCACTCAAATTTTCAATCATTAATATTGTTTGTTTTGTTTTCACATCAACAGGGGGATGTAGTAGTATTAGAGGGAAGCAGTCTGAGTGGGGTGGGGGAGGGATACGGATCAGAGGACGCTGGGTACTGTGATATCGAATTCATTAACAACAACAGCAGCAGCAGCAGCACGATGACAGCACCTAACAGCCACCCCGAAGCTACCGCCGCCAATGACTTTTCAACCGTCCCGTCATGCCATTCTGGTATGTGACATACTTGAACATTTTCTCATTGTTTTTACAACCATTTAAGTAGTGAAAATAGTTACAAATTTGTTCGAATAATAACTTGTCGTGGGAAGAAAGAAGCTGAAAAGAAAATTCAAAGCCAGCTTACAAAGTATTCGCCACGCGCTATCTTGCGATTGGAGAGTATGCGCTTGTTAATTATGCTTTCTCTATTTCAGGTGAGCTCGGCTTGGCTCGGCGGTCATCATTATCTCCGGCAGCGGCAATCGCAGGATCAACATCTCCGATGCAAGTCGCGAGTGCCATTACGGCGAGCAGCAGCAGCAACAACAACAATAATGATAATAATAACAAAGAATACAATAACGATAAGAGCGTAGTTGCAGTAGCCGCCTCAGCCGGCCTTAGCACCGCTATCATCACCACCACCAACAGCAACAACAAAAAGATCAACCTAAATATGAAGAAGAAGAACAACAACAACAATAATGCAGAACATAATCATCATTATCATCACAATCATCACAAGTGCAGAAAAGTGCGTAAAAGCAGCAGCAGCAAGACATGGCGTCGTTGGCCCGGTGGCCTTCTTCGACTAAATAAAAGACGACGACCGGCCAGCAGCCAAGCAGCCGCTAACTCTAAGTCTACGTCTAAGCCGTTAAGTGATAATAAGGATAGCTTTAGATCATTAAGCCCTAGGGTACTAAGCATAAGGAGAAGCAGCAGCAGATTGTTCAGCGGCGGCAGTGGCAGTGGCGGTGGCGGCGACGCCAGAATTAGTTACGGCCGCAAGGACAAAATTACAAAAATGATGAAAAACAACAAGATACGGCACCCGACTGTGGGGCCAACACCTAGCCTAGTTAGGATACCCAAGTCTGACGGCCAGCGGGCCTTTAACCTTAAGGCTAAGATTAGTCATGTAAGTTACTTTAAGCCGAATAACTCCAAGTCTGTGATATCGCTCGGCTCGGGCAGTAGCGGTAGTTTCAAGCGCCGCGCCAATAACGCCACCAATACCACCATTATCAACAACAACACCATTAGCAGCAGCAGCAAGCGTCTCGCGCGCACGGCCAGTTCTTCCATTACGCTTATCGTTTCCAAAAGACGCGAGCCGCAAGCGCCCGGCGCTGCTCCCTCAGAAATTTCATCTCTGTTATCTCAAGCCACCAACAATGGGCGCCCTACTACTGCTATCAACGAGCTAAAGCGACGACTAATAAGCGCATTATGTGTTCCATTAACGATAAGCACTCCGGACGGGAGCGGCCCGTCTGCGAGATTAATCGATGGTATTAGCTGTACCGAAGCAACAATATGTACTGTTGGTGCTCTTTCATTTCTGGATAACAATAAGTCTAACGAGCCTCTAAACATTAGCTTTAAGAGCGACGCGATGCTGCTACCGCCGATGGATAACGAGCAGCAGCAGCAGCAACGCCAGTCTAACCTAATACTTAAGTCTCTTACTCTGTCTAAGTCTACGCCGAGCGTTAAGTCTAGCGATAAGTCTGACACTGATGTTGTAACGATCACTACTACTGTAACTACTACTATTACTTCTAATGAAGCTGCTGATGATAGCGGCGCATCAGATGGTAACGTCAATGTTACCATTGGCCAGCGTGGCGACGATAACAATAACGATAATAACATTCCTACACCGACTACCTGCGATGATGTTAAGCCTACGATGACGCTTACAAGCCAATACTACCCGATAATCGTCACTCAACAGACATCCCAAACGAACGATGTACCTGCCGCATGCGAGCCTCGCCTCAGCAACAACAATACTTTTACCTTCAACGATAACGACAAAGATCAAGTCTCCACTCTGCTGACCGGTCAAGACCAGATTAAAAAGATCGTAAACGACAACAATCAACAGACAAGAGCTAGCCTCGTGGAGGACTGCAAGGACCTCATTGCCGAATATCGTGTAACGCGTGATAAGCGCTACCTAACGAAACTGAGGGAGGTCCTCGATACTCTTCTGACCATCAACAGCAGCAGCAATAACAACAATCAGAGCTGCGCCAAAGCAGTTCAACAGTACAATGTTGATTTCGTTCTGGACTACAAGCTCCGTTGGGGCATACCCACTATCGTCGGATTGGCTGGAGGTGGTGAAAGTTCGCTCAACAATAGTGCCACAGCCAATTGGGCTTCTACTCAGCCAACCACACCCAACAACAACAACCAAAACCAGTCTGGCTGGGGCAACAGCGGCAGTGCTCCTGGCACCGCTGGAAATCAGGTGGGAGGCCAAGCCGTACCACCCAACAACTGGCAGAGCGTCACCGGACCTCGGCCCATTGGAAATCAAATAAACAACCAGCAGAGTCCCAATCAGAATCAGGGCCCACCTGGTCCACCAAACAATCAAGGTATAGGTGAGACTCTTTATTTATTAATTTTTTTTTTTTATATATAAACTAATTTTATTTAGATCGATGGTTCAACGTTTTATTTTTTCTGTTAGGATCTAATGCCCCACCGGGTCCTCCGACGTCCCAGCCAAGCAACCAGAATCAGCCAAATCAAGGCAATGGCGGTAACGCCGGAGCCGGTGGTCAGTGGAACCAAGGTGGTCCCAAGCCCGTTAACAATGTCAACAACCCGAACAATCCGCCAAACAACAACAATGGCTCGAACGTTCCTTCTCAGCAGCAACCACAACAACAGCAGCAGCAGCAGTCCCCGCAACAGCAGCAACAGCCCCAGCAAGTCCAGGTACAGAACCAACAGCCGCAACCACAACCTACCACTGGCAACAACAATCAACAAATTGTTGGTAATCCGGGAACTGGGAACTCTGTTTCCACGCCTTCGAGCAACACCACGGTCAAGCAGTATGAAACGACGTTACATAATATGAGAGAGGCCATTTTTAGCACTGACGGTTGGGGAAGCGTAAGTTTGCTCGTCTCATATTTTTTTTGAATTCCGGTGATGGGTTCTTATTTGTACTCATAAAAATGAACTAACAATGAATAAATCAGCAGAACCACGTAAACCAAGACACATCTTGGGACGTGCCAACTTCTCCTGAACCAGCCATAACGAAAGATGGTGTTCCCATGTGGAAACCGCCTGTGAACAACGGGACTGAGCTGTGGGAGGCGAATCTGAGAAACGGTGGCCAACCACCGCCACAGCAGGCCAAGGCCCCTTGGGGTCACACCCCATCCACGAACATTGGTGGCACTTGGGGTGAAGATGACGATGCAGCCGACACGTCGAACATGTGGACCGGAGCTCCGGCTCCGAGTCAGCCGAATGCTGGTCAGTGGCCTGGAAACTCGGGCAATCAGACCGGTATGTGGAACGCGAACCTCCCGCCTCCTGGTGTCCCTGGAGGCGCCGGTGGTAACAATACAGGTATGGCTTTTATGAGCGCCAGAGGCACTCGTACACTCGTTCGTTCTCTGGTCTTCTCTTTTCCAGACGAATGAGCTTGTTTATTAACATTGAATGTTTAATGGCATATTTATTTGCTTACTGCTTTTTGCTTTCAAATCTAGTATTGATGTTTAAAGTTAACTATTACTCTACAGCATAATTACAAATTAAAATTAAACATTGAATCTATGTTCATTAATATCGCTGGATTGCTTGATGTTTTTCTGTTAACTTGATATAACTGTACGAATTAACAGGGATTGAAATTGTACAAAAAATTTTTCAACCTTTTTTGAGGAGCAAATGTTGGAAAAAAAAATTTTTTGTGCTATTTCCAATCGTACGGTACTAATGTTAAAACTAAAAAAAAAAAAAAAAAATTAAAAGTAATAACTGTCTACTCTGGCACTCATGAAGCTTTGTGTCGCCTGCCGCATCCCCATTTCCAATTTTTCAACATTTTCAGTATAATTACGTAATAACTTGGAAAACTTTTGAAAATTCTTAAAAATAGGTTCAAGCTGGGGCGATCCCAGAGTCGACCCCCGCGATCCACGCGAGCTGCGTTCGGTGGACCCTCGCGAGATGCGAGGTGGTGATCCTCGCGATCACCGCATGTCTTTGGACCCGCGCGAGCAACACATTCGTGTGAACGATCCAATGGCCCGCGACCCCCGTATGTCTGGTGAGATGCGAGGCGATCCGCGCGGTGGAATCAGCGGTCGACTGAATGGTGCCAGTGCCGACGCAATGTGGAACCTACCTCCAGGTAAATATTTACTTATTTGACCCACAAAGAATTCAAACACTGTATCTTGCTGTGTCTTTTTCTAAGCAGGTGATAATTTTTTATCAGGACCACCACACCATCAAATGCCTGGCCATCACAACACCAATGGACCACCACCCAAGATGATTGCTCCAACGAGTATGAATCAGTGGTCGGCACCACCCAAAGATATGATACCCAGCAAATCTTCCGGCTGGGAAGAGCCGTCGCCTCCCGCGCAGCGAAGGAACGTGCCAAACTACGACGACGGGACCAACATTTGGCAGCAGGGCAATCAGCGCACGATGCCTTCCAAAGTCTCACACTGGAAAGAGGCACCTTCTCAAAATCTTGGACGTGGAGGTACTTTGAATTTCCTTTCAATTGCTTTTCGCTATTTATACATTTTGCTTCCTAACAATAATAAGTAAATATTAAAAAAAATAAAAATAAAATGCCTAATCGTCATTCGTGCAAAGAATCTCATTTCTTGCGCACAGGCATGCAGTGCCCGCCAGGAATGCTGCAGAACCAAATGCCCCCTGGCCAACCGGGTATGAAGCCCGACCCCCTAGACGGTGGTGGCTCAGGCTCAGGATCAAGTGGACCCATGTGGGGTGGTCATCCTGGTAGCGTTGGACCTATTGGAGGTGGTCATAACGGATCATGGACTGATGGTCCTCCCGACTCTGGATGGGCCGACTCAAAGCTTCACAATCGTCGCCGCCAAGTTATAGGTGGAATATCTGATCCTCGTACCGGAAAACCATTATGGGATGAGCATCAAAAACCACATTCTATGGGTCCAAGTGGCGGCAACTGGATTGATTCTGACATGGATCCTACCAGCAGTTGGGGACATTCAGCTAAGCTTAATCTTAGCAAGGAGCACATCTACAATAGCCGCGAGTTCCGTAATCTTTGTGATATGGGCTTCAAGGTAAGCAATCCAATTTATTAATTATTACTTGTTGTTTTTACACCGTTACTTTAACTTGTTTGCTCTCAATTACAGAAGGAGGATGTTGAGATGGCCTTGCGCAACCGTGAGATGAACCGTGAAGAGGCCCAAGAATTGCTGAGCCAGTTGCGTCCAGTCGATCAGTGGCGTCGCCATGACGGTGGACACTCAAGTTACGACCCTGGCAATCAAGCAGCGGGCAGTCAATCATTCCCTCGCTTTAACCATGTTTCCCAGCAGATGTCCTTCCCACAGGTAAGTTGGATAAACAAAATATTTGGAAACGCGAAATTCTTTGGGATAAAATGGGATCCTCCACTTCCTTTTTGCACAACGACACTTTTCCTTCCTGTGTATCTCCGTTTTTGGTCTTGATTTTACTTTTTTTTTTTTTTTTTGTGTTATTTTTGGAGAAGCGTGTTTCCCTGTTAATAATACGTTAATACTACTCTTTGCAAAGTACTCTAATTATCGTTGAGTATCGTGCAAAGATGAAACATGCATGAAACAGTTGATGAATTACAGTTGCTGCATTTTCATAAAAATTTAGTTTCATATTTTATTTTATTTTTTAATTTTTTTACTCAATTTTCATCAAAGCAGTTAACTGCGCACATGCTGTGGTTTTAAGTGGTTTTTCTTTGAGTGGCACATAATCATGAAAAACGATTAAATAAGGTATCGAGTGCATTACATTAACTCTTACCTCCCATTAAAGTAGAATTCTTTTTTTCCATTTTATGAAATAGTGGGTGCCTTGCGACATGAAATGTTTTACTATTTATCAGGGTGACGGCTTCTTTATCTTAGCTCTCTTACACTCTATCAACAAGTAATGAACTTTGATTAATCTTATTTTGAAATACTTATCGACTCGATGAGTAACGATCTAATTGGTAAAAATACATATACTACGTATGTTATATCTGTGGTGAAAATAATAAAATACAACCAGATGTCCCAAAAAAATTTAACCCTCTTAAGAATAATCCGCAAAACATTAACGAACCAATTAAAGGAAAACTTTGAATAAATAAGGAAAATCGAAAGGTGCAAATGTATAAAATAAAATGACGAGAAAAGCGTGGTAGAGTTAGTGAACGAACGATTGCGCAGGGGGTTGGCGTGCCGAGCGGCGCTGTAGCTGCTGCCGCCGGAGGCTCGGTGGCCAGTGCCAGTCTGCTGAAGCTTCAGCAACAGCAACAACAACAGCAACAACAGCAGCAACAGGCCGCGGCCGCTGTTCAGCTACAACAGCAACAGCAACCGAGCAGCAATGCGCCCCAGCCACCCTTCAACCAGGTGAAAAGAGACCCCTTAATGAAACACACATTCGTACAAACTCGTTAGTTCGGACACTCCCCTCTCCACCTGCTCCACCCCATAAGTTTATTCTTACGTGAAAAATAGTACGAGTAACCTTGAAAGTTAACATATATTTTTTGTCGTTTTTATGTAATGATTATTTTAATACTAGGCGATGTATGTTGTGTAGGTCATCGTGGATTTTTTTTTTCATAGTTCACAATTGTGTATTTATCCTGCGGCGCTTTATGTGTTGTGCACTTTTCACACTTTTTATACTGCACCAATTTATTTTATGATTTTTTTTTTTTTTTACGATCTACCAAAAAGCTTCTAATGTAATAGAAATACGTTAAGTAAGTATACGAAACTATTTGTTTTTGACATAGTAGAAAGAAAAGCTCAATTTACATATGAACTTGCAAGGAAGTACGTTATTGTTGACAAAAACTTTAGTTTTTTGCCATGATGGCTTAAAAAAAATCTGCACTCTTTTCCTTTTATCTTTTACTGAGTTTCCGTAGGCTTAGTGTTTTATACATGCATGTGTTTAGTTTCTGGTCTTTTTGCAACAAAAAAGCTTGATCTTTGGCGATTCAGTGTTACTTCTGATGATTTTTTTTCTTTTTCTTTTTTACAGACTCGTTGCTTGAAGTATGGCACTGTTTGAAGTATGCATGTAGCTTAGTTGCCTTTTTTTGCTTATTTAGAAACTATTAGTGTGTACTGTAATTATTATTCCACATATGTATACATAGACCCATCCCTTATAGAAATCGTTAAAAAAAATTAATTCCAATAAAATTTTATAAGTACCAGCACAACAACAAATAATTAAATTGCCAAATTACGTATAATGGAAAAAAAAAAAAAAAAAAAATGTCTAGGCCTCACGGAACCCGACGAATCAGCCAAGTACTCAGCAGCTGCGCATGCTGGTCCAACAAATCCAACTCGCTGTTCAGGAAGGCTACCTCAATCACCAGATCCTCAACCAGCCACTGGCTCCTCAAACACTCTTGCTCTTGAATCAACTGTTACAACAGATTAAAACACTCCAGCAACTTCACCAGCAGCATACCATGCAGAACTCGCTCAAGGGCAATAGCCAGAACGTACTCCAAATCAGTGTCAACATTACAAAAACCAAACAACAAATCGCCAATCTGCAGAATCAAATTGCCATTCAGCAGGCCACTTACATGAAACAGCAACAACAACAGCAGCAGCAGCAGCACCCGAGTACTCCGTCACAGTCTGATTACTACAAGACCTCGTCGGTCCATGACCCCATGAGTGCGCTGTCGAACAGCTTTAGTGACCTTGCTATGAATAAAGAAGCTCCAGTGGTAAGTGTTTTCCAAAATCTTCTTGACGTAGCAGTTTAACTGTATAACAATTGTCTCCCGTTAATTAATGTTTAATTATAATTTACAGAGCCAGCCTCAGTCACGTCTTAACCAATGGAAGCTTCCGTCCCTTGACAAAGACGTCGACTCAGTGGTGAACGAGTTCTCGCGCGCTCCTGGCAGTGCTAGCTCCAAGCCACCCACTACACCAGGTGGCCTTAGCCAGTCCCATAGCAGTCCCAACATGAACCCACTGCTCGGACCTAGCGACAATACCTGGTCCTCCCGCCTAGGAGATAGTGGCTGGCCTGATGCTGGTAACAGCGATTCTACCGACGGCAAGGACTGGCAGACGGCTCAAAGTGCTGCTGGTGCTGCTTTCACTGACCTTGTGCCCGAGTTCGAGCCCGGCAAACCCTGGAAGGTAATATCCAGCCATGATGACACTACTACTATGACCACTACTACTACTACTACTACCTCTACTACCGATTACGCTTCTACTTCTTTTTGCGACTTCCGCTCTTTCGACTCTCTTCTTTTGTGAGAACCGGTAAATTCTTTAATTAAATATTTAATCCAGCTGTTTACGATTATTCTCTTTTTATATATTTCTTTATTTTTCGTTTAACTGATTCACACATCGTTTTTTTTTCAATTATTACTATTCTTTGAGTAGATTTTTTTGCATAGCACCTCACATGACATGTAAATAAATTTCATGGTTATAGTACGTAAAATCGCATGATAAACATAAATTAAACGTCACCACAGTTGATCATCGCTAGGCTTAAGTTCGTTTGCTTCCAAGTATCCTGCAAGTTTAATGAAAATACTCTACAAAGAGTGAATAAAAAAAAATTATTTAGAGCTTGTAGGCTGCTTGCTAAACACGTTTTCATAGAGTAATTCTAACAGTTACTCTTCATTGCTATGAAAAAGTCCTTGCACCAGAAAAAAAAAAAAAATTTTTTGGATGAACACACTGGCGTGAACGCACTTACTTAGTTATTAAGGGTCTGTCTTGGTCGACGTATACTTTACGTGTTTTTAGGGAACGCAGATGAAATCAATTGAAGACGATCCAAGTATCACTCCCGGCTCTGTGGTGCGCTCTCCATTGTCGCTTGCTGCCATCAAGGACTCCGATACCCTATTTTCGACTGGCAACAAGTCTCCGCCACCGCAAGCCATCAACGTTGACAGCACCATTCCAAGTCTCAGTAACTCGACCTGGAGCTTCAATCCACCTGCTGCCACTACTCCTAGTGTCTTTTCCAGGTTTGTATACCCATTTAAAAGGAAAGAATTCCTATATTTTTTCCCATTCTAATTTTGTCTGTATTTTTTTTAGCTCCAAGAATACATGGGGAGAAAGTGCTCCACCACCGACACCCGTCACTTCAGAGCTGTGGGGCGCGCCGATGGGTAAATCCCGCGGTCCACCGCCAGGCCTCAGTAGCAAGGGCACCAACCCGGTGTCTAACACAAGTAACGGTTGGGCTCTCGGTGGTAGAGGCTCGTCTGCCAATACTTGGACCGGAGGTTTGGGCCAGTCGAACGCTCCAGGTGGTGGAGTTTGGTCCCCACCCTCAACCTGGCTGCTACTCCGTAATCTAACACCTCAGATAGATGGCTCGACTCTTAAGACTCTGTGCATGCAGCATGGACCTGTCTCAGATTTCCGGCTCTACTTGCACCACGGTGTCGCTCTCGCCAAGTACTCGTCGCGAGCTGAGGCAATCAAGGTGAATGTCGAAACTCTGTTTTTATTTATTTGTTTATTTATTTATTTCTTTTTTTTCTACTAACCAAACAAATTATTGAAATACACGTAATAACCAAATGCTTGGCTTGTGTGTTTCAGGCCCAGGGTGCATTAAACAACTGCGTACTCGGCAACACTACAATATTCGCCGAATCACCACTGGAAGGCGAGATCGACACGCTGCTAAAGCAGCTTCTACCAAGCAGGGATGCAGGTGCTGGTCCAGCTGGTACAGGTGCTCAGCAGCCAAACAGTGGAGCCGGCTGGGGTCTGAGACCGGCTGCAAACAAAGCCGGTCCACCTACCGATACTTGGGGTGCCAGTACCAGTCAGTTGTGGGGTGCCCCGCCATCCAGCAATTCGCTCTGGGGCAGCTCGGGCCTCGACAGCAGCGACCAGCAGCGCGCCACCCCGAGTTCTCTCAACTCGTACTTACCCGGCGACCTCCTGGGAGGTGAGTCCATGTAAAGTGAGCATCAAGGGAGGCCTTCTTCTCGTGAGCAACGTCAATTAAAACATACGCACGCGAAATCTACCTGTCGAGAAACTAAAAGATACGCAACCAGAGAAATACAGCTGTGTGCAGTGGAGTGACGAAGACACAGAGTAAGGAAATTACTGCTTATGAAAGAAAAAAAAACAAAACAGAATAAAACAAACAAACAAAGAATAATAAAAGCAAGTGAGCGCTCCACGACACAAAGAGAGAGAGACTGTAGGCTACTAAAAAAACAATACGTATACATAATATGCGAGCGAGACAGACAAGAAATTCGTCCCCGAGTGAGCGTTACTTAATCGAAACGAAGTATAGTAATTATTTTAGCCGAGAAGAAGCAAGAGATTCAAAATATAAACTTAGAGAAGTCGCGAGCAGCAGTCCAGAGGCTGTAAATGTAACAAAAGTGTGTTTTTCATTTCACGAGTACAATTAAATGAGTTTAATACTCATATACATACATATATAATATATACGTACAGTAGTTTTACCGTCATGTCTGCTCCTCGCGAATTCGATGATGCAATTATCGATTACGCTTGCAAGAATATACCGACTGCCGAGGAGACTCGTAATCTCAAAGTTACAAGGCTCGCCGGTCAATCTTTCTTCTAAACAGTTCACGTTATGTACAGCAAATATGCGCGCTTACAAATTTCAAGTGTTCCACTAATAATTTTCCTCTTTCTTTTCCGTCATTTAAACGCTGAATGATAGCCCACGGGCGAATCGTGGCGTCAAACTTAGACTGCATTAATCTAATCAAAACATACAAAGGAATAATTGAATAGCTGAAAAGCAGGAAGACGAAAAAGCGCTAGGAAGAATTGAAATAAAGACGAACTAAAGTAAACAAACTTTTTTTTAAAAAAAAAAGAAGCAAAATAACTATAATAGCATTGACGTCGCCCGAGGCCGCGTAGGGTCTCGATAAAGTATATTAAAAGTTCTCTCCGTTCCCGAAGTCTGAGATACAACACATGTACTGTATTAAAAATATACAAAATATTTAAAAAAACAAAAAACAATATCCGTCGAGAGGCTGAGAATAAAGGGACACGTACGGCTCCGATTCGTAGGTAGCCCGAACAAAAAAAAAAAATAATAGACAAACTAAACAAAAAACGCCAACGAGAGATGAGACGCGGCCGGCGACGCAACGATACCAAATGTTATCGCAATAACGTAAATTTTATTCTTATTAATTAAATCTAAATGCCACCTGTCGTGCCAATGTCCAGTGTGTCTCTGTACCATTTATTAATCGTAGAGTTTTAATGATATTTAAAAAAAAAAAAAAAAAAAAAAAAAAAAAAAATGAATAAATGAACCGATTGTTGGGCGAGTTTTTCGCGTGCGGGCTTGTTTAATGATGGGAATAGGGAGCTTTGTGTATAAAAATATACACATAAATATATGCATATGTATATTGATAATGAAACAGGAGGTGGGCACACGAGAAGACGAAGAGTCGATGCTCGAGCTTCAAATGTCATGGTGTAGAGGGTGAGAGAGAATGAGAGGCATAGAAAGCGAGGAGAGATGAAGAGTTTTCAATTTTAGTCAGGTGGAGAACGGAATGATTTGCCGAGCTATTTTTTTTTTCTTCTTTTTTTGTTCGCCTACATATGTATTTATATGATTATATTAATGATAATTGCGTGTATATAAAAAGTACAATAATTGTTGGGTGGTATAAGTAGTACGGTGAGTGATGAAATGGCGGGGCGCGACGACGAGTGACGAGATTTGTTCTTTACCCATATAGACTTGCGAAACAGTTGTAACTCGCCTCCCACGAGATTTATTTTTGTTTTACTTTTTCTTCATCATTTCGTCGTTGACTTGCGGTTCTGTATAAAAAACCTCGACCACGACCCCGTACCTTTGACGGGGTCGTCGTCGTTATCGGTGATTTTTTAACGATCTTAACAGAGCTTTGACTTTTCACAGCTTTTTTTTATTTCGATCGATTAGAGATTATATTTAATCAAGCAAAAAAATGCGACCAAAAAAATGTTTGACAGAAAGATGTGTTTTAATCTTTCGGCTCCGTATACGCCTCGATAATTCCAGGGCCTTTTATTATTAGTTTTATGCGCACACTTGAGATGAAAATTGTACTTTTTTTTTGTTTTTTTGTTTATGTCAGTGTTAACTGTACCTGATTGGACTGACGAGAGGGAAACCAAGTCCCCCTTTGAGCGTAGGACTTTTATCGAAAGAGTTGGAAAACGATTTTGAAGAGACGAGGGAAAATGAACTTTGAATTAGATTGTACACTTTTGATCTTTTATATTTTACGTTTTTTTTTCTCCATTTTCATTTTTTTTTTTAACATTGCCTTTTTGTGATCCAAGCGTGGACAAACTCAATTCCATCCGTAAAGCAACCGCTCTCCCCTCTCTCTCTCCCTTTCTATTATTATTATAGTTTTTGAACTCTCATTCTTGCTCCTCACTTTGTTTCTAATCTTTCCCTCTCTCAGTCGACGCGAAAGTTTATTATTAACACTAATATTATTATTCCGTACGTAATATTGAGGTGATATTTAATCGGCGAACTTGGTGATTTTAATCAGAACAATAAAATAATTTAAAAAAAAAAACAAAAAAAAAAAAACTAATAGATAATGAAAACGTGATTATAATGCGCTTGTCGTACAAAAACTAAGTCGAAAAGAGAGGAAAAGGTTTTTAAAATTTAAAAGATGAAAAACAATGAATAAGAAACACACGCGAAATGTAAGAAAGGAAAAAAAAAAAAATTACACTTACACACATCGATAGAATTGTAAGCATAAGTTCTGATTGTATTATTTAATTGTAAAAAAAAGAGCGAATCTATATCTGACCGATTTAATCATTGATAGCAACAATTGCGATGTAAAGGCATACATTATATGT